TCCCAGTATTCTTGATGAGTTTGAAGAGAAGATCGAGCAGAAGACACATCCATCTTTTGGTGAATCAAAAAAATAATAATAATAATAATAATAATATAATAATAATAAGAATAACAAAACAACAACAACAACTGGAAATCCATTGAAATTCAACTTGAGAGATACAAAACAGACCCAGACATAGTGAAAATACATCCCGATTACATATACAAAAGATAAGACCATAAGCAACAAGAACACTTTTTTAGAGAAAGATAACTAAGAAAGACATACAGTAACTAATCAAACTTATCATCAAAGTCACTAATCTTAGTAATGACTAGAAAAGTGAGTCCCGACTCCCAAATGATTCATTAACAACCAAAAAAATGTGAGAAGTTCGCCTCCCTTACTAGGTTGTTGCGCATGGACCTGAGGCCTGCAATTAATAGCAGCAAAGCACATTAAATGTACCCAAACTATGCTCATTGACTCCCAAGGATACGATTTCTTCAGCTGTTTGGCTAGCGCAGAGGCTGCAAATAACACTGATCTATCAATATCCCTTTGTGGATTTCTGGCATTTGGTATCAGTTCAAGGATTTTTTTGCTAGCCTTTGATATTTGCCTTTGGACATCCTTTCCATTTGATGAGATTGACCTCCTGCTTACCAGTGACTCTGCCTCTGCCAATGTGTCTGCAAACACTATTTTCCAACTCACTGAGACAGCTGCCATCATAGCTGGATGCATTATTAAAAGATAAAACATATAGTCTGAAAGCAGCTTGCATATTTCTTTGTGATTGAAGCCGTTAGAGGTAGACGTTTGGTCTTCTTCAGTCCCAGAGCCACGCGGTTGGTCCGGTTCCTGCTGCAGCCAACATATTTCAGTAGCTATATGCCATGTTAGTACACTCTTCGAGTAATCTAACTCCTCCAAGATATTGGCGATGTCCGTAGAATTGCTAAAGCTCTCAAGAGCCCGTTTCCTATTGGATTTCCAAGCTTGATTGGCCTCTAGCCCAGTTGGCCGAGACGCATCTGTGATTAAGGATGTGCTCAATTTTATCACTTCCTCATAAATGAAGCGCCATTGGTCTTCTCTGAAATCTTGAGAAGAGAGACATAGGATTCCTTTTATGGCTTCCAATAAAATCCGTATGCCAAGATACTTAGCAATGTCTCTTAACAAGACTGGGGAATATTTAACATAGTAAGTAATAAAATTCAACTGCGAAACTGCTCTACACCACCTGCGCTTATTGAAGAATTTGGACTCCATACTCTGGATGTGAGCAACCAAAATCCAATCAGATAAACCAAGCAATATGACAGACATGAATTCCAATAGCAAGGCCCCGATTAGCAACCCATAGGTTAGCCAGATGTCAAACTGCCCCAACTCATAATGCTTCTTAAATAATGAGAAGGACAACAAGGCTCCCAAGATGCAACAAATAGTAATGAACCTGAAAATGTATCCAATCATGCAACCAACCACAGGCAACTTGGTGTGAAGAACCTCATACAACAGGCTTAGCTCAATTTCCATTGCTTGCAACACGTGAGATGAATTTTCTAATTGGAGAAAGGTTTCCCTGATATCAGAGCATTGATCTGGAGATAAAAAAGGGCCTACAAGTGTCATCTTGATAGTGCCAAAGTGGTGAACTGCTGTCCATAATATTGACTTGAGACTCTTCTCAAATTTTTCCATGGTTTTGGCGTCCATCTTTTGGAATTCCACTGGAATCGGAAGTTCATCTCCCCATTCGCTAGGTGCCCAGCCATCTCCAAGATGATCAAAGCTTGCAAGATAAAATGCACGGTTACGTTCAGCGTATTTGATTATTCCTGCCACTGTCACCAGCATGGTTGGGAGCCAAAGCTTGTTCTCTGGAAGGGACTTAATGAAGACGTAGGCAGTAGAACCAACCTGCAACAAGAGCCCAAGCAAGTGCCTCACCCAAAACTCATTATCTTCGAGAGCGAAGGCAGTAATGGTGTCAGGACCACCGAGGTGCAATAAGAGAAAGGGTGCCCAAAAGACCTGGATGTCACTACTTTCAGTAGGACTTTTGATTTGCTTGCTTACGATCAATCCGATTGAAAAACCGGCAACCCAATCAGCCAACAAGTAAATCGACCAGATCAACAAGTCGACACATTTCCCATATATCTTACCTCTCCTTTTTCTATATGGTGCAAACAGAATTAAGAAGACCTGCACTGAAAGGCTAACAATAACGAATACCCTGACGTTCCATGTGGCCCATAGCTTCTTGGTTTCTTCAATAACAAAGGACGACATTGTTTTTTCTCAATTTCTTCGCTGTTGTTCAACGAAAGCAAGGATTGAGCTAAGACAATGGAGGAAACAAGTTGGGATGAGAGCAAAAAAAAAACGAGAATATGGTAGGAAGGTGCAGCGAGTTTAGTGTGAGAGTAATCAAAGTGAAACGCTATGCTTGATTACATATATAAATTTAGGAATTTTAATTGACAAACTAGAAATTGGGGTGAAATAAAGCCAATCATTTTTTTTTTTTTTATAAAAATTAGAAGATGGGTAAAAAATAGTTATAATCAACTTTTTTTTTTATGTTAATTATAATCAATTTTCTTTTGAAAAGATTATTTCTTGTTACTTTTCTTTTAAGAAATAGATATGAGAAAAGTGTTTGTTAACAAGATTTTTAAAAAATTAGGAGGAACATGATTCTCAAACTATATTATTTTAATAAATTTTTATTGAAAATTACTAAAATAATATTTTAAGTAGAAATGATAGTGTT